GGGTTCCTCTTGATTGGGACTCTCCTGTGATTCCTGGATTTGTGTGACTTTTTCTCTCATCAAATTAGGGAAATTTTCTCTCATTACTCTTTCAAATACATTTTCTATCCCTTGTTCTTCTTCTCCTGGTATCCCTATTATTTGGATATTATTACATTTCATATTATCTTGCATTTCTCTTCATCCCTCTTCATTCTCTTGGAGCCTGTTTTCATTTTTCTTGCTCTTTCTGTGAGATGCTTTCTACTTTGTCCTCCAACTCGCTAATCCTATCCTCCACCTCATCTATCCTACTTTTGAAACTTTCTACTGTGTTCCTCAATTTGGAAATTGTACTCTTCATTTCCTCTTGTCCCTTCCTGATATTTCCTATTTCCTTTTTCATGTCGATGTAGTTTGCAGATAGATCATTGTAGTTCCCCTGTAGTTTCTGATAGCTCATTGTGAGCTCTTTGAACTTCGTAATAACCAGTGCTTTGAATTCACTGTCTGATAGTTGATTAGCCCCTATTTCATCTAACATTCTTTCTGAAGTTTCTGCTTTTTCTTTCATTTGGGGATTGTGTCTTTGTCTTCCCATTGTTTGAGACTCTTCTTGTTAGCCTCAGCTTCTAAAATTGATCTGTTCTGACACCCTGGGTTTATGGTGTGAACTTCTGTGGTATGATACTTGTGAAGTTCAGTGGTGCAGACTCCTTCAAGTATCTTGATGTTCTCTGTCTCCACCTACTTTCACACTGGTCCCTGTGCTGGTCGCCTACCACTGCTGAGTGTCCCGGCTCCAGTACCTGACTCCTCCAGCATCCAGGCCCATTGCTACGGCAGCAGCACAGGGGTCGAGAGTGTCCCAGCTCCCGTACCTGTCTCCCTGGTGTCCAGTCCCGTCGCTATGGCAGTGGCACAGGGGCTGAGAATGTCCTGGCTCCCATAGCTGGTTCCCTGGCCTGTCGGTGGTTCCCCAGCACCCAGGCCCGTCTCTATGGCGGCGGCACAGGGTCCTCCAGTGTCCCAGCTCTTGTAGCTGACTCCCTGGCTCCCCAGCCTGTTGCTATGGCGGCATCACAGGGGCCGCATGTGTCCCAGCTCCCGTAGCTAACTCTGCTGCTGTCTGGTGTTTCAGTGTCAGTCACAATCTCTGGTCTTTTAATTTCATAAATGCTCGGTAACCAATGGTTTATTGTGCTGTTTCTCTATAGATCTGCCAGGATTTTCACCCACGAATACAGGAGCTAGATTCCGCTCTATCCTACTTGGTCGCCATCTTCCCAGCATCCTCCCCATATTTTTTCTTCTTGATGCAATTTTGGAAGGGATAATTTTCTCAATTTGTTGTTGTGATAATTTGTTATTTGGTGTATAAAAAGTCAGCTGACTTCTAAATATTAATTTTGTATCCTGGTACTGAACTGAATTTACTAATTCTAAGAATTTATTAATAGATTCTTTAGGGTTCTCTGTATATAGTTTTATGTCATCTGTAAATAATGGCTATTTCACGTCTTCTGTCTCAGTTCAGATCTTTTTATTTCTTTTTGTTGTCTGATTGCTGTGGCTAAATCTTCCAATACTTCATTGAGTAAAAGCAGTAAAAGTGAAAATCCTTGTCTTATTCCTTGATCTTAAACTAAAACACTTTCAGTTTTTCACTGTGGAATATAATGTTAGCTGTGGGTATTTGTCAAATATGGCCTTTATTATGTTCCATTTATGAAACATAATAAGGCTATGTTCCATTTATCCCCTTTGTTGAGAGTTCTTATCATGAATGTTGCATTTTCTCAAATGCTTTTTTTGCATCTATTGATATGATTATATGATTTTCTTTTATTTTGTTTATGTGGTATGTCACATTAATTGATTTGTAGATATTGAATCAACCTTGCATCCCCAGAATAAATCCCACTTGATTATGGTATATGATCCTTTTAATGTATTGCTGAATTTAATTTGCAGATATTTTGTTCAGGATTTTTGCATTCAAGTTTATCAGGTATATTGGGATATATATATATATATATATATATATATATAATGTACTAGTCTGTTTTTGGTATCAGGGTAATGCTGGCCTCATAAAGCGAGTTAGGGAACCATCCATTCATTCACTTTTTTGGAACAGTTTGAGAATAAGTATTAATTTTTCTTCACACATTCCATAAAATTTACCTGTGAAGCCATCTTCAGGACTTTGTTTGGAGTTTTTGAATTACTGATTATACTTTGTGAGTAGTTATTAGTCTATTCAGATTTTATTTTTCTACCTGATGTAGCCTTGGAGGATTGTATGTTTCTAGGATTTTATTTATTTCTTTCAGATTGTCCAATTTGTTGGGATATAATTGTTCATAATTTTAAAATAATTTTTGTGTTTTTTAGGTGCTGGTTGTCAGTTATCCTCTTTTATTTCTGATTTTATTTATTTGACCCTTACATTTTTTCTTCATGAGTCTGAATAAAGTTTTATCAATTTTGTTTACCCAAAAAAGTAGCTCTTGTTTTCACTGATTTTTTCAATTATTATTTTAGAGTCAATTTTTAAATTTTCACTCTAAACTTTATTTCCTTCCTCCTACTCAATTTGAACTTTGTTTGTTGTTCTTTTTTTAGTTCCTTTAGATGTAAACTTAGATTGTTTATTTGAGATTTTTCTTGTTTCTTGAGGTAGACCTTTATTGCTATGGATTAAGCTGTTATAACTGCTTTGTCTCTGTCCCATAGACTTTTGTGTTGTTGTGGTTTAATTTTCATTTGTCTCAAGGTATTCTTTTATTTCTTCCTTGATCTCATAGTTAATCCATTCATTGTGTAGTAGCATGTTACTTAGCTTCCACATGTGTGTATGTTGCTCAGGTTTCTTCTTGTGATTTCTAGTTTTCATACCATTGTGATCAGAGAAGGTGCATGATATGATTTCAATCTTAAATTTACTGAAACTTGTTTTATAGCTTTATATGTGGTATGTCCTGGAAAATATACCATGTGAACCCTGACCAGTGTGGGTCAGTTGGTTGGGCATTGTTCTACAAAGCATAAGGTCACTGGTTTAAATCCTGGTCAAGGCGCAGGCTTGAGTTACATGCCCAGTCTCAGTTAAGGTACATGCAAGAGGCAGTTGATCAGTCTTTCTTTCACACATCAATGTTTTTCTCCCTCTCTTTGTCCCTCCCTTTCCCTCTACCTAAAAACAAATAAAACATTTTTTAAAGAAAATATACCATGTGCACTGGAAAAGAATGTGTATTCATAGAAGTGACATGAAATGTCCTAAAAAATGCCAATTAAATTCATCCCATCTAATGTGTCATTTAAGATTGCTCTTTCCTTATTGATTTTTCTGTTTGAGTGATATATCCATTGATACCAAAGTGTTAAAGTATCCTTCTATGTCTATATTATTGTTGATCTCTACTTTTATGTCTGTCAATATTTGCTTTGTATATTTGGGTGCTCCAATGTTGGGTGCATAAATATTTTTTAGGGTTATATCCTCTTGTTTGAATTTTCATAATACTACCCTTACTAGTATTTGACTTCTAGATCTTCTAACTATCCAACCAGGCAAAGACACAAGGGAAGCTTTGTTCAAAAGACAATGTTCACAAAACTTTTAATAACTATGCTGTGATTCTAGTTGACAAACTGAATTCATCATTGTGGAGACAGGGGCATAATTGTGGAGAACCTGGGTTTGTATAATGGCCTTTCAGAGTTATAGCAAAATCTGACACAGACATTCGGTCACTTGAACCAGGATGAAACATTCAACAGATCAGTGGTCAGGACTCAAAGCTACCAGAGCCAGTCATTCATGACACAGCAAAAGCTTTATTCAACTAGCCATTCATGTATTAATTGTTTCATTTCAACTAAGCATTTATGCTTACTGTGTTGCAGCAACTGTGTGAACATAGATGCATGGGGAGAGAGGAAAGACATTGTAGCTGTCTATATGCAACCTCAATGTGTTTCTCCAGCATTGTGGAGAAAACAAATACTGAATGTTCGATTATAATGCGTATTGAGTATCCTGAAGAAAACATACAGGGTCCTACAGAGGGATAACAGGTGTTCTTAATTTGGTTGGAACCTCAAACAGACCCCACAGGATAGAAAACAGCCTTTAGGTTAGTACCTATAGGATCATTAGACATTACCCAGGTGAGGTGAAAAATACATTTTAGTTAGAGCTACTGCATATGAGATAGTATTGATGTGGTAAAGAACATGGATATACTTAAAGATTTAAAGAAAACCACAACCAATTCCTAGAGTCCAAGTGTTTAGAGATCAAGGGAAAAGTGATGAGAGGCAAAAAAGAAGGATGGGCTATATTCAAGACTTTGTAAGCCATGTTCAGAAGTGTTGCCTTTATTCTAAGATCCTTGGGGGATATTAACAAAGGAACTGAACTATTTAGATTTAAGGTTATGATTCATATGTGGAGAATGATGGGAAAAGAATAAGAGCAGGAAGAAGAAAACTAGTTACAGTTGTATTAGTATTCTCTAGAGAAACAAAACCAATAAGAGATAGATAGAAGGCTAGAGTGATAGAGAAATAGGTGTTTTAAGAAATTGGCTCGAACAGTTGTGGAGGTAGCACTTCCAAAATTCAAATGCAGTCCAGCAGAATAAAAATTTCACTAAGAACTAATGTCACAGTATTGAGTTCTGAGACATCAAGGAGACAGAACCAGTGGTTTATCAGACACCTCCATTTGTTTTGTTTTGTTTTTAATCATTTCAACTGATTGGATGAAAGCCACCCACATTATTTGATACCAGAAAATTCACCTCCTATTCTCACAAAAAGCTAATTCCATATAGATAAATTTATTTGGCTAATAAATAAATTTATCTATAATTTGGCTAATAAATAAATTTATCTCACATTGGCTAATTCCATATAGATAAATATATTTTGAATACAGATACTCAATTTCTTTTTATTGTTATATTTATGAAATATTATATCAAATCTCACAAAGTAACATATTCTTACTAAGAAAATGTTTTTTTGCGAAGTACTCTTTTCAGAGCCCTCTTGATTTCATTGTTCTGGAGGCTATAAATGATGGGGTTCAGCATGGGAATCACCACTGTGTAGAACACAGACACCACTTTGTTCTGGTCAGTCGAGAAGGTGGACTTGGGCATCACATATATGAATGTGATGGTTCCATAGAACAGGGTGACCACTGTGAGGTGGGATGAGCAGGTGGAGAAGGCCTTCTGGCGCCCCTCGTTGGAATTCATCTTCAGGATGGTGATGAGGATGTAGATGTAGGATACAAATATGGCAAACACTGTGACCACAATGATGGAGCCAGATGTAAATGAGGGGACAACTACAAGAATACTGATCTCAGAACAGGAGACTTCCACTAGAGGAGCAAAATCACAGAAAAAATGATTGATTTGATTTGGACCACAGAAGAATAAAAAATAGAAGCAGATAATAAAGGAGGAAGCATTGAGAAAACCACCCACGTAAGCCACTATGAGGAACTGAACACAGACTTGTGTGGACATTTTGGTTGAATAAAGCAGTGGATTACAGATTGCCACAAAGCGATCATATGCCATTGTAGCCAGAAGGAAGCACTCAACTGTCCCAAAGACAGCAGTTGAACCAAGCTGCATGCCACATCCATGATAGGAGATTGGATTTCTCTGCAGCAGGAAGTTTTCAAGCATATTGGGTGTGACAGAAGTTGAAAAGCACATGTCAGCAAAAGCCAGGTGGCTCAGAAAAAAATACATAGGATGATGGAGCTGAGAAGAGATTCTGATAAGAAGGATTGTGCTGAGATTGCCAGATATGGTCACCAGGTAGATACACAGGATGATCACAAAGAGGATGACTTGAAGGACTGGGTCATCAGTTAAGCCCAATAAGATGAAGTCTGTCAGTCCAGTGTGGTTCCCAGACCTCAGGGAATCCATGAGATAAAGTTGCTGCTACCCAAACGAACCTGTGATGAAACATTACATTAATATCAGCACTTAAATGTGGAATCTAATGAATAAAATAGACAGATGAACAAAATAAAGCCAGAGGCATGGATACATGAAGCAGACTGACAAATCTCAGAGGGGAGGCGGGTGGGGAGGACTGGAAGAGGTCCACCAAAGGACACATATGCATTTATGTATAGTCCACGGACACAGACAACAATGGGATGAAAGCTGGGAGTTGGGGGGACAAGGGCTGGGTGGAGAGAGGCAAGGGGTGGGGGGACAGTGGGGGTATCTGTAATAGTGTCAACAATAAAAAAGGTGTGAATTTCATGGTTTATCTTCATTCATGCACATAAAAATTATTCTAAACAAAATAATTACTCAAGCTAAGTTTGGACATTTTGTAGAGTCCAGAGCTATGTACAATGAATCTTGTATATTTTTGACAGCTAGTGAGGGAGTAGGTGAAGGGGTGGAGGGATTGAGCAGAAAGGAGAAAGGACTCATGGACAAGGACAACAGTGTGGTGATTACTGGGGGGAGGGGGTATTAAGGGACTAAATGGTAATGGAAGATATATAGTAAAGATAAAAAATAAATTGTTTTTTATCAGCAACACTAGAGAACCTGCTTCAAATAATATTACTTTTTCTTTTTATATTATTAATTTATAGAATGTACTTAAATTGGCTTGAAATCTAAGCACTGAGAACTAAGACTTATGAGAATAGCAAATAGGAATTGTCTAGCCCAGTGTAACACGGAAGATTCCTGCGTAAATATAGGATTACATAATGGAGATGTGAGTAATAGCTAACATTTATTGAAAAGTTACTAAATGCTAAGCACAGTATAAAGATTTTAGATATTAATTTCCAAGAAATAATACTGAGGACTTATATTTATAGATGAAGTAACTGATTTGCCATTGTTAAGTAACTTACCAAGTTTACCTAGCAAAGGGTGGGATCAAGTAGTGAATCTCCAGGCAGTTTGAATCCAGTCCATTCCTTTTGTAACTACACTATAAATTAAATGGAATAATATTCATGATGTAGTTGAGTCATAAATGCATTGGTAACAAAGTACCATTTTTACAGCTAATGTATAAAGGAGGTGCATAGTTAATAAGAAAGTTTAAATTTGTATCAGTAAAACAAGTTCATTTTTAAAAAAGAAGTACAAATTTTTTCATTTAGTTATCCTTTTTAATTGTATTTTTCCATTACCATTTTCCCCACTTATATCCTCTTCCACCTCCACCCACCCCATAATCACCATCCTGTTGTCCATGCTCATGAGTTCCTTTTCTTTTTTGCTCAATCCCTCCACCCCCAACCACCCACTCTCACAGCTGTCAGCTGCTTTCTATGTGAGTCTGTCTCTATTTTGATTGTTAGTTCAGTTCATTCATTAGATTCCACGTATGAGTGAACTTGTATGGTATTTGTCTTTCTCTGACTGACTTAGCATAATGTTCTCCAGGCCCATCCATGCTGTCACAAAGGGTAAAATTTTCTTGAAAGGAGAAATATAATTTTTTACTACAGCACAGAAGAAATACTAAGGATTTTTAAATTGACATTATGAACAAAGACACTTTGTAAATTTATTATATACCTTTAACATTACAATTAAAATATTGTTAACATCAAGTAGTTTGAAATATCCTAGTGTATAAATTTATTTAAATAAATAAATCATTTCCTAATATATCAATGTTTCATAGTTAGGGTATTATAGAATGAAATAAATTAAGTTTCAGCACAATAATGCAGCTGAATAAAGCTACAGCCTAAAATGTTCATTTTACCCAGGTTTACCTAACCCATGATCAAGTTGAACCTCACCTCCAAGTTTTCTGGCTCTATATTCTCAACTTTGTGAAAAGTATCTTGTTGTCTGTAAGCTAAAGCATTTGGATATTTACAAACAGTAAGCCCCCAAAGTATCTCAAGCTATTGAATTTATTAGCATTATAGTTGAATGCCAAGGTTAGATAGTTTGAAAGATATTATGACTTTCTGGTCTTATGGGTGGATACAGGAGGTATCCTGGTACCCTGAATTATATTTGTTTATACCCACTACTGGACTGTAGAAATTTAGGTTAATTCAGTTAAGGTTACTTGCTAGCCGACTGCCAGGTTACGTCTGTCTTGTTTTTCCACTGCATCTTATGAGTGCAACTTTAGAGAATAAACAGAAATCATAGATTACCCACAAAAGCCCAAATCTTACCTCTTGATATGAAATTCACTCAACTTACAGATAAGTCATTATTATTATATAGTAGCAATGGTGCCTTTTATTATTGTTTGCCTTTGGGGATAAATCTCTGAAGATTGTAGAGACTCCAATGTGAATTCCAAAGCACCAGGGATCATTATCACATTATCACATCTCAAGTGGGTGTCGAGCAGTTCACTTTACATGAACACAATTTGTCTTTAAGGGGTCTGCTAATTTTGAACTACTCATTTTTTCTTAATATCTAGATATTGGTTCTTTCAGTTGATAATTGTTGAGAGCATAAATAATAAATTAGTTCATAGCTAAATACTGGTTGTAAGTATTCTTTGCTATTTTAGGTTAAGGAATATTAAACTTTAATATAAAGAGGTAACCTTAGCTTTATTCCCTCAATGTGTGTGTGTTTTATGTGTTTTGTCATGATATGTGTAAGACACTCCTTTAGGTGCCTTGGGGATCCTTGGAGTGGAACACCACATAAAGTTGAAATTTAAATAACACAATTATTTCAAATGTGTATTTTTTCTAGCAAAAAGTAAATATGTGTGTGTGTATGTCTTTGAAGTTGTAGATATAGAACTATGAAGTCAAAAGAGGTCTGAATGACTTCCAGGTCAGAGTTAATCCACATGCCTCAAAAGGATGACTACAGATGACTAGTGGCTTACTGGAGTAAATGGATGATGGTAGAAACAGCTGTCTCCAGCCTGAAGACTCAGCTAATTCTCTTGCTAACCCTTATTTTAGAAAGTTCTATCTCACCCTGCTGATGTATTGCTCACTGGAAATTCTAATAATACTAACCAGCTTTCACTCAGAATTTACTCTTTGCCAAGCACTTGTTTAGCACTGTATTTACATGTGTTTATTGAATCCTCACAATAATTTGGTGAGCTAAGAATTCCCATTATCCTAATTTTACCGAGTATCCTTAGTCTTACTTCAAGATACTTCTCACATATATTCAAGTGGTATAATTCAATCTAAGTTTTAAAATTTAAGTCAGACTGATGGCAGAATGTATACTTTTAACTGCTACTGTCCTCTAGTTGACTTTGAGACTTGAGAGCCTCAGATGTGACCACTGGTTCCCAATTGGTTCTTGACCTACAGTTTTTTCTTCCCACCCAAAGCAGTCTGCCTAATTCCCTAAAACTGGCTAGACCTAAGGTCTGACCCCGAGCACCAGGTCTGTACTCAGGATCCTAACTTATTCTCATATGTTCACCCATGACCAACTCCTGTTGGTCTTACCTCCTGATTTCTATCACATGTCCAGTTTATCTTAACAGTGAAAAATGGTACAATTGATTTTCGTATATGTACATTTGGTCTTCCACAGAGCAGCCTGAGTTACTTAATAAAATAATTTCATATCACTCATTTTAGTGCTGTCAGTTATATGTACTTGGTTAAAATGGCTCAGAAGAGATAATTGTTCATTTTCTCCTCCTTTTCAAATCCCCACAGGTAACCACTCTTGACTCTTTTTTTAAAATTGAGTTAATTGGGTTGACATTAATTCATAAAATAATATCGGTTTCAATTGTACAATTCTATAATCTAGTATCTGGATATTGTATTGTGTGTTCACTACCCCAAGTTATGCCTCCCTCAACCATTTATACCCTCTTCAACCTCCCTCATTCCACTTCTCCTCTGGTAATCACCATGCTGTTGTTGTCTGTGTCCATGAGTTGTTTGCTTGTTTGCTTGCTTAATCTCTTCACCCAGCCCCACAAACCCCTCCCCTCTAATAGCTGTCAGTCTGTTCTCTCTGAGTCTGCTTCTACTTTGTTGGTTTATTTTGTTCATTAGTTTCCTCATATGAGTGGAATCATATTGTACTAGTCTTTCTCTGCCTGGGTTTCATAGAGCATAACACTCCCCAGGTGCATGCATGCTGTCCAAAACGACAAGATTTCCTTTTTTTTCCCACAGCTGAGTAGTAGTCTATTGCCTATCTAGTCATCTACTGATGGACACTTGGGCTGCTTCCAAATCTTGGGTATTGGAAGTAATGCTGCAATGGACACTTTGGTGCATTTATTCTTTAAAATTAATGTTTTGGGTTTCTTTGGATATATTCCCAGAATTAGAATTGTTAGGTCATTAGGCCATCCATTTTTAATTTTTTGAAATAATTCTATACTGCTTTTCACAGCGGATGCACTAATCTTTATTCCCACCAACAGTGCATGAGTCTCAAAATAGAGGGGCAGCTGATGATGAATGGGAGCATTGTGTGAAGTCCCAAGGTATCTACTTTGAAGTGTTACCGTCTGAGGGCTGAGGTGTCACTGTCCTATATATAATGTTTCTTGTATCTTCTTTAATAAATGTTTCTCATTTTTCATACTACATGGCAGGGTACCTTGTGGACAACCTCATGTGCCTGTTTTTTCCTGCCAGAATCATGCTGTTTTGATTACAATGGCTTTGTGGTATGGTTTGAAATCAGGTAGCTTGAGTACTCCAACTTTGTTCTTATTTCTCAATGTAGTTGCTGTGGCTATTTGTTTTTTTGTGTGTGTGGTTCAACATAAATATTTGGAATATTTGTTCTAGTTCTGTGAAATATACCTTTGGTATCCTGATAGGAATTACATTTAATCTGTAGACTGGTTTGGGTAATATGGACATTTTAATGATGATTCTTCCTATCCATGAACACTGTATATGCTTCTACTTATTTGTATCTTATTCAGTTTCTTCCTTTGGTGTCTTATAATTT